TTCTCCCTGTACTTTTTGAACAGGAGCATTTCTGGAGTGTCTCCACCTAATCAAATACAATAATCAACTTCCTAAGTGACAAAATTCATACTGTGTTAGTTAGGCTCCTGGTTAGTAACCAATGAGATAAAGCCCAGATCACCACACAGCAGTGCCTTCCATAAGAGAAAAATCATTTCATTTCCGTAACAGTTGAATGAGAAACCATTAGAATTTAGACAAAACTGCTCAAAAGGGGCGAGAAAATCCAAGTGGATTATAAGGCAGCAAAGGTTCAAAGAAGTTCCATCAAAACACAACCTACTCCGTTCTAATTCCAGATGCCACAAGAAAAGAGACTAATTTGACTACATAAAAATAAATTAAGTTCCCCAAGGAAAAAAATACCAGAAGCCAACTCAAAATATTAGTAACAAAATGAGGTAATAGGTCTGCAACACACACCACAGACCGGGGGCTGACCTGAGATTATAAAGAGCTCCTAGAAATCATTAGGGCAAAGGGCCTAACGTCTAACCAGCACACGTAAAAACATGCTTAACCATACTCCCAAGAGGAATACAAATCCACATACACCCAGAAGCTCCCTTTCCACCCATCCAGCTTCTACCACCCCCAAACCTGATGCTGTACCCCTGTGCACGATGACGACGGGAACGTGGATCGGTGCCCACCCCTTTGGGGGCCATCAGCAGTCCTAAAGGGATGCCGCACCCTTTGCACGTGCGACAGTGCCTCCCGGCACGCGTGCTACGTGGCACGCGCACGTGCAGTACGGAACGCACCAGAGGGCGTTCACTGCGTCCCCGTCTCCAACAGCAAGACACTGGCAATGACCGCAGTGCCAGCTACCAGGCGGGGTCAGGAACCGCCCGCCCCTGAACATGCCCAGGACGTGGCAGCGCACACTCACACGTGACCCAGAAGCTCACGACATGGTGACTGAGGCCAGGGCAGGGACTGGAGGAGGACAGCTGGACAGGGGCAGGCCTTGTGAAAACATCACATGTGAGCACCCTACCGCACACGCCCCTGCATGAAGTGGATAAAAATGGTCCTGGGACCACAGCTCTTCCCCACTCCGAGAAGGGAGCTCCGCTGCTCGCTCGCTTAGCGCTTGCAGGACAAATCCCACAGGTGGCCCCAACAGCTCAGGGCCGAGCGCCACAGCAGGAGCCTCAGTGCCAGTGCCGCGGTGGGAGGTTCCCGTGGCGAAGGCGCAGGACTCATCCTCAGCAAAGACCACACGTGGTCCCCGGGGAGAAGGGGGGTCATGCATTCCAGCCGGGACTCTGTCTGCACGCTTTTGGCCAAGGGCAATGGCCTAACGGGGCAGGAGCGGCCCGGGGGCTCTCTCGTCTGCACAGGGGGTTGGCCTCAAAACTTCCGGAGCTCCACTTCCCGGCGGCTAAGTCCTGGCGTTCGGTGAGATGCCAGGAGTGACTGGTGCCGGGGGATGCCAGCAGGGGCAGAGGCACCTCCACCCCAGCGCAGACGTCCCCTGCTCCTTGGCACAGCGGGCGAAGGGCGGCTGAGTGCACTCACTCCTGCTCGAGGCGAAAGCCTCTAGAGTTTGGCTCTAGATTCACCAGCAAAAAGGCCACGGGAAAAGGCAGGACCCTGGCCGCCAAGGGCAACGCATGCGCTCTCCTCCGCCTGCTGCACCCGAGCACCAGCGCAGAGGGACAGCGGTCGCTCTGCTGCTGCTGCTGGCGCCAGTCACCGCCGGGCAGGAGGCCCGGGGACCCCTGCTGCCCCCTCATGCACTCGCAGTGCCACGGGCACACCCACCACCGTGACTTCACCACTGGACCGCTGCGACCACAGCCACCACCTCCACGATGATTGACAGGTGCCACAGTCAAAACCCTAAAATAAACACTGCTGACAGGTAGCTGTGACAGGCACCTCGGGGAAGGGCTGGAAAGCAGCCAGTCCAGAAAGAAACTGACTACTCCAAGGGAAAAACCCCTGAGACCAGCAAAAGCCAAGACATCCAAAATAAACCTATTGCTAAGTTTTAAGTGAACTGTAGGTAAAACTCTTAGATCACTAAAAAATGTGAGAGGCCACAGAGTTTCACAAGAAGGTTTCAGGGGGCGCCTGGGGGACTCAGTCGGGCTGATCTCAGCTCAGGTCATGATCTCACGATTTGTGAGTTCAAGCGCCCTACATTGGGCTCTCCAGAGACTGCTTAGGATTCTCTCTCCCCGTTTCTACCCCTCCCCTGTTTCGGTATAGGAATAACGGGGAATTTGACGATTGCCAAGAGATTATCTTAGAAGTTCCCATCACAAGAAAAACAGTGTCACCATGTGAGGTGACAGGTGTTCACCAGACTTACTACACCGATCATTTCACAGCACAGACATATATCAAATAGCCATGCTGCACACCAGAAGCCAGTATGCCTATATTACCTCAATTTCTTAAAAAAAAAAAAAAAAAAAAAAAAAAAAAAAAAAAAAAAAAAAAAAAAGCCGTAACATGGACCAAAAATACTCCCGAAGAAGATAAAGAAAACGTGAATCACGTCAGAGATGAAGCCAGGCCGGCAGAAATACGGTCATCAGGTGTCATAAAAATGCCAACACAGAAATCACCTTCTTCCAGCACCGTGCTGGTCTCGCAAATGCACCAGCGGCCGACGCACCGCGGGCAGCCACCACTCCCTGGAACTGCCACACCAGTGCCGGCTGTCACTGCCTGCACCCCACAAGGTCAGCCCCAGAGCAGCAATCTTGTCCAAGCCTTGGGGACCATCCCATGCTCAGTCAAGGTCTCAGGAGGGAACGAGCACAATCCAGAACCACCCTTGGTGAAAGTAAGGACATATCGAAGTCACAACACATGCATCTGACCCCCAGGTGCAACAGCCTGTCCCCTAAGGGGACACGATGAAGGGCACAGAACCCTCAAGACACAGGGCTTGGGGGAGAGTCAGCATGTATGTTTCCTGGGGTGGGAAGTACAGCCAGAGACCAGGTGATCTGGGTCTCCAGAGTCAAAGAGAAAATAACCAGTTTCAGGTTAGGCCTGATACAAATTCTCCTGAAGAAAGTTCCAGAAGTTTGTGGAGAAGTAGGAAGATAGGAAGTGGACCAGGAAGCTGGAGCTATCTTCAGCAAAGTTTGTAGCCAGCGCTTTTCTTAACTGACTTACCTGCATACAAGGTAATCCCAACACAACATGACGCCTGCCCCACCGGGCCCCAGAGAATGCTGGGCCAAGTCCCCCCGCACTGGAGCCCCAGAGGACACTGGGAAAAGTCCCCCCTCCCCCGCCACTGGAGCCCC